AAATTTCTGAAATTTCTGAAATTTCTGAATTTTCTGAATTTGAAATTTTAAAGTTTATCTAGTTATCTAGTCAAGTATTATAAGTTTATCTAGTCTATTATACGTCTACTATTTTATGCAAAGATATACAATTGTTTGATAAATTTCAGGAAGACAACATCTGTTAGAGAAGAATAACTCTGAGATTTGAATGATTTCCGATTGTTAATTTACATAGTTTGTGAAGAGAACAGAGATGTGCATATGCATGAATATATTCATGTGCACAGAGGCGGTGTGCACATGAATCAACTCGCCAGTTTTTGATCGATGTATTAAGATGTATTCTTTCACTACTAAATTAAAAAATTTCATACATTTTTGGGAATCGAGAGTTTTTGATAGCCAGTTTCTGGCTATGAGTAATAAAAGTTGATTTAAGCAGAAATTCCAAGTCCTACACGCGTAACAATTGCAAACACTCTGGATTCGTCACACCAAATGGAATTCGTTTCTGTGAATTAGGCTCACATGAACCTCTTAATTAATGAAAGACTAAAGCACCTCTGCTTGAAGCTCGGCATTCATATGAGGTACCATATGAGATACCGGCGCTTGGGTTGAAGGGGGGCCCTTTAAGTCAAATATCCCTGCGTGTCCCATTAAGTCAAATGTCCCTGCGTGTCCCATCAAGTCAAATGTCCCTGCGTGTCCCATCAAGTCAAATGTCCCTGCGTGTCCCATCAAGTCAAATGTCCCTGCGTGTCCCATCAAGTCAAATGTCCCTGCGTGTCCCATCAAGTCAAATGTCCCTGCGTGTCCCATCAAGTCAAATGTCCCTGCGTGTCCCATCAAGTCAAATGTCCCTGCGTGTCCCATCAAGTCAAATGTCCCTGCGTGTCCCATCAAGTCAAATGTCCCTGCGTGTCCCATCAAGTCAAATGTCCCTGCGTGTCCCATCAAGTCAAATGTCCCTGCGTGTCNCATGCCAACCGTAGTGTTCCATGTCGCACTACGGCTTGTAGTCGCACGCACTACGGCTTGTAGTGCGTAGTGCTACTTCGTAGTGCTAGTGCCCTATTTAGGATACGGGCCAATATCTCTCAAACTAATGAACGTTGTTCGATGAAACTTGGTACACGTATTCATCAGGATCTAACGGTTATGTTAATTAAGCTCGTGAACATTTTTTCCATTTCACCTTCATTCGTGAGTTAACGGCAATTCAGACCGAAATTTGCAGTGACCAAGAAATTTTCTTTAAACTACTAAACAGATTTGAACGAAACATTGAATATACAAACCTAACCTCACAGAAGTGATGTTTGGCACGTGACAAATTTTTTCGATTTTGCCTTCGTTCGCGAGTATACGGATATACGGAGAAACAGCCGGTATTTCCGAGGTCGATTTTTAAATTTGCATTGACAAAGAGCCGTATACGTATGGCCGTATAACTCGCAAACGAAGGCAGAATCGAAAAAAATTTCATAAGCTGAACATCACCGTTGGGAGGTTAGGTTTGTATACTCAAAGTTTCGTTCGAATCTATCCAGTAGTTTAGAATAAATTTCTCGGTTACTGCGAATTTCGGCCCCTATTGCTGTATAACTCACAAACGAATGTGAAATGGAAAATTTTTTTCACGAGCTAAACATCACCGTTCGGTACTAATTAATACGTATACCAAGTTTCATCGAGCTACGTTCATTAGTTTGGAAGATATTTCTTGGTCACTGAATTTGGAAATTGGCTGTAAGACCGGCGCAAGTCGGCCGTAAATTTGTCCGACACCTTTTTAAGATGACATTACTGTTCGTTCCAGGGCAATGCCGTGCGTTGAAATACAGTGCACCAACTGTACCTCTTTTTGAAGTACAGTATAGTAACTGTACTGCTCTTTGAAATACAATATACCAACCCGTCAGGTACAAGTCCCTGACGGGGATCGACGGCCCGGAAATGGAACAAAAAATGTATCTCTATTTATAATTGTAAAAATACGTTTCCTCTTATACGTTTCCTTTTAAATAATTTCTTTATTTTCTGCAAAGAAAAATATTTACTCGAATGAATATTTCATTTATTATACCCTGCCTCATTTTTGTTATCGCATCAACAAATGTTTTTTTTTTTTTTTTTTCATATAAAATTAAACAAATATTAATTGATTGACGGACAGAAATACAATATATTCGCAATTTAATAACTGTTGCTAAAACGTACGTCGCGACGTGACGCTCGTTAACCCAGGTGTATTAGTTGAGGGCTGAATGACGATCAAAACTTAGTCCATCGATTGGTCCATGAAGTAAATCACACGTGGTCGCTGTGCGTCTGTTAAAGTGATTCCAATATCAAATTGCAGTTCAAGTGTATTATTAGAATGACGGCTTGAATTGTAAAAGATATTAATTAGAAAAAGTTTGAATAACTTTCGTGCCGTGCGTTAGTGGCAGAATACACGTGCACACACTTTAATAGACACGCCACCTCGGGCCGGCCTAATGAAAATACTAAAGAGATTAATGCTGTAAGAATAATTGAGGCCAAATGCTTGAAATTGAACTTTCCCGTGCACATTACGAAAATTTGATACTTTTTATAAACTCCTTCCTAACATTGTTTTTTGAAATATAGTATTTTTTTACGCTGGTTTGTTCTTAGCCTTCCTTGGTGTTTGCATCCACCAGTCAAACGCCTTCTAAAAATCCATCAGTAGTTCGACAAAAAAAAAGATTTCATGTTCAGAGATGGCGGGAACATTCAGCGTGGAACAGGCGAAGTGTGAGATGTTAATTTAAACGAGCATTTTACAGTCTAATACCAGCGTACGTGTTCGTTCAATATATCTACTCGCTCAACGGACATTATCTTGAACGCTTTTATATCTCATCGCATTGGAATTGTCAAGTCCTCATACACTGATATAAAGTTCTATTTTCGCATAGCAAACATTGAAATAAGCCGTTCTTTCAATCAATCCTTCTTCTATATATATGAGTACTCTGCTCTCGCAGTTAGTTCAATTGAGAACACTTCGAAGAACTTCTTGATTTTCCTGAATTATTAAACTTAAAATAAAAATTAACCTTCTATCCTTAGAAAAAATGTTTTCTAAACATAAACTATGTAGCACTTATTTCCTCTAATCTCCATATAATTGCAATACCAGTAAATGTAATCACGAGATTGGAATAAATCTCTTTTTGACATATCTTTTACACGTTTACTAACATGTTACATTATTATTCATTTCTTTTAATCCAATCATCATATGATTTCAAATTTTTTGGGCACGTTCAGATAAGAAAACTTGTTGAAAAACGCTTACTGACTATAATATGAACTCGTCGGGAATTGATCCCCACATTCATTAAGGCTTACAAGTTTACGACCCAAGCTGTACAGAGTAGTGGTTATCACGTAAAAGTTTAACTCTAGTCAGATTAAAATGTTCGATTTACTCATGAAAACAACTTCACTTTCAAGGCCAATTGAATCGTGATTAAATAGCACTCATGGTACTCAGTTGAGCAAAGTCTGTATTGAGCAAAGTTTTTCTTACCGCAACGATTGATTTTCGATGAGCTAAAGCTGGTTGTTGTGGCAGCATTCAATAAACAAAGGTGCGGTGCTGGTTGACTTGAATGGTCGAATAGCTAGTAGTTTTAGTTTTGATATCGTCGGTATCCTTGATAAGTGTTTCGGACGTGGCAGGCCCAGGCAAGGTTGAAGCGCCACCTCAACTTAAACAAATGTTATAGCGAACGATGAATTAAATATTTGATTTTATCGCCTCACTGGGAATGCCTCATGCATGATACCAGCCAGCATGCTTATCCTTTTGACTGAATTTCTGAAAGGAAATGCATGAAATAAAATTAACGGTAAAACGCGACATTTTGGAACCTTATATGTAGGAACATATATGAATAAATTTTTTTAAATTGACAAGCGAATTTCCAACGGTGCCTCGAGTACACTTTCGTTAAACAGTGACATAGCATCTCATGACCATGAGAGGAAAAGTTCTTTGTTGAGTTAAAGTTAAACTATCTAGTGGCTCAATGTAATTTTTAATCATTTTACAACTTCTATATTAGTCGTCACTTATGCTCCTCGAATTTTAACACTAACACTAATACTTATACTAATAATAAATGCAAGGTTATGAGTTAGAATGGTGCCAATAAGGAACGTACTCTTAGTTTCATTCGAATAACTTATGATATAGTATATCTCTACCGCGTTGTACGTACTTAAAGTAATGATAACTGGAGTGAACGGTGTTACACGAATTGTCAATCATGTCATACTGTATATCATAGTGATGTCGGTGCTGAAGGATAGGCCTGATGAGGCCGGTCGCCGATTCTTGTATTTTTTGTGACTTATGCACAGGAGATTTAAAAACAGGTCCTCCGACCGGATCTTTTCCAAACTGACGGTAGTTTGAAATAGCTTCTAGACTTCCACGGGTTCGATATGGTGCCAGGTGATTCGAAGCGAGAAGAAATGTTGGCGCGTGGATGAGTTGAAGCGCAGTTTTTTTAGTTTATAGCCGTGGCCCCTGGTGTTGTTCTTGTTTCAAATTCTAGTATTCCTTCGTGGACCGCGGGTATACTTGTATACTTCAGTGAGGTATACAAGTATACTTCAAGTATACCGTGGGTATACTTGCATACTTCAATTAGGTATTCAAATATACTTCAAGTATACCGGGGGTATACTTGTATACTTCAATGAGGTCACCTTGCAGACTTTCATAACAGAGGCTTGGAAGCATCTTAATCTTTAGGTATTCTTTCTTCATAGGACTTGCCCTTCAAGCCCAGAATTATCATTGGTGCACGTCTTTGAACCCTCTCTACTAACTTTTTGTTCTTTTCAAGTTTCGGTGACCACACGGCGTTTCCAAACTCTATGTTCGGACGCACGACAGAAACAAACAACAGTTTCATCGCTTCTGCATCTAGGAACTCGTAAGAGCGTATGATCAGTCCAAGAAGTTTGTTGGATTTATTAGCTTGCGTTTCAGTGTGCTTAGAAAATTTTAGCTCTTTGTTGACATAAACTGATTAGGCTCATGAGTGCCTAATTAATTACTTGCAACTCCACCAGGGAAAATCGTCGTGCTGTACCTCCGGCAGTGAGTGTCAGGTACCTGCCAAACATTGGCATCGGAGACGTGAAAGTTTCAGGCGTATAGTCTTTACCGGAACCAGATCGTTGCGCGAAAACGGGGTTCTGTTCGTAGGCAGAAGCGTTGCCGAACCTAATTACGATATCATTGAAGTCAGATCCATAGAGAGCGATAGCAATAACTTCAGAAACTCGCATCACTTTGCCAAGGTCCATCGTGTAGAAGCGAACGAGAGTTGAGACAGACCAGTAACCGTCCAGGGACTCGGAACAAGCGTATCCGTCGGTAGACTTGGACACAGGATAGGAGGATGAGAAAGGCAAGGTTGCGTTCACGGCCAAGTAGGAGGTGCGAGTCACGAGATTTCCTGGATGAAGCCAAGACGTGTAGCAAATATCGTGAAAGACGTTCGGAGAGCCTTCGAAGTAGTTCGTCACATACGAGGAATAGAAGAAAACCTCGCCAGACGCTGGAAAAAAATTCGTTATCACAATGAGAGTCTGTCAGCTAGGTTCTGCACACACTAAGCACATTGTGATAATAACATAGGAAAATGTTAAATTTAAAGACAAAAATGTAGTCATGCAACTTATTCAAGTTCCCATATAGCTCAATTAAATTTTATTTTTATACATTAATCTTGCAATATTAACACAAGTCAGGTTTTCTCAACGAACTGCACCCAAAGCTCACACTCGATTCTAGATTAAAAGGACTATTTGCAATAAAATTCTTTACAATAATAATTATGATAACATAAGAATATGGGATATTGTAGGAATGACAAACATGTAGTTGTCAAGGTCAATCAAATATTTTTTGGTTGCAGTCTCGTATGCCAACTTAATTCGAGCTCGGGAGGATTGTTGGAGAGAAACAGCTGCTTCTAGTCTTAACTCCTCCTCCCTTCATTCGTGTGACTATTGATTAGTATTAATCACACAGACTCGCATCTTCAGTATCCCACACGAGTGCGGTGTAGGTGATTTGAATGCAAAATTTAATAAAGAAAACCTATGCACTAGATTAAGTGTGTCTGAATGTGATTTGGAGCAGAAAAGGGAAGGTAAGGTGTGTTCATACTCGGTGCAGCTTTGAAGACTAATTTAGATTAACTATTCAGTTTTGAAAGACATTCACCATCAGACAATTAATCAAAGTTCCTCGAAGCTTAACTACACTCAACTAAATTTGTTTTGAGCTGCAGCGTTTAATTATATGCATGTGACGCTCTCAAGGGACATGCTGTCAACGTGGGTGCCGAGGAATAGGAATAAAATGTCTCCAATCAAAGATAAAAAGTTGACGAATCTCCCGAAATTAAAATTCATGAATGCGAAGTCATGACATGCTGTTACAGTGCCACTTGTCTTGAGCATATATTTTTTCCATAATCGTATTGATTTATGTTTCGCTTCAGAAGCTTCCCAGTTTCAAAATTATAAGGAATTTACATATGTAGAAAATCAAGTAGAGTTAAAGAATTCGCGAAAATAGGCGATGTTTGCTTTGCTCTCGGAGTGCTTTTTTTGTACTGATGGGACGCATATATAGCAATGAATAATTCAATTGATAGATGTTTATGGAATTTCTGGCATCTTTTATCGGTCTACCATTGTTGGTTGCATCAGAGCTGGGCTTTGAATAATATGCGTTTAAAAATTACTTTTTAAAGACAACACTTCTAAAGAATCTAATGTCTCCGATGTTGAACATGTACAATGAATTTCTAATTTTACTTTCATATATTAACGAAATTAATTTAAATTTTTTAATATATGTTAAAAATTTTAAATTTTCAAAATTATTCATTCTGTCAATTGATTCATGCCTTGTCTCCGACTTTACGCGAGTGTGCAAAATTTCAGATCGACTGGAGAGGTAGAAGTGTATTAAATATCTATTCTAAGATTTGTCGCAGACAAATAAACAAACGAACAAACAACAAGGAGTGAACTTAAAGAGAAGTGTTGTAAAAAATAATAATCATGGAGGCTGCTGTCAGTAGAGATTTTAGAATATTTTTCTCTATCATTAGAAAATTTTCATACTAGGGCCGGCAAACAACATTGGATCGACGTTTAATCAACGTTAATTCAACGTCAGATCTCTGATGGGTTTGAATCTTCACTATCATCCGAGAAGTTGTTAGGTAAATATTGACTTCTTAATTCATCATCTTGGGAGAGAAATTGCACGGCGTCAGCAGACACAAATGAAAAAGAGATCGTATGAATGGGACTGATTTCATGTCGCTAGGCGTTTAAATGTTTATGTTGTCATTCAAATCGATATGATTTATTGCCAATAGTGACTCGTGAAAACTGCTATGCATAGTGGTCATTTTCTTTTTGTAAACGAAATTTGTTATAACATTACACATCAATATTACTGGTTATTCACTTTAACATAATATTAGACAGGTAAGCACAACAAACACAACGGCCTTCATGAGCTTCATCAGAATATTGAGTTTACGCGTCCTCTTTATGATGTCCTCCATGCAGCAAATACTGACGTAAAGAACTCAAAATTATCGTCCATATGCTGGACCATAATTTTGAACTATCATGCAAAAATGAGAAGCCATGAGTTAATCATTTTATAATAAGAGACAATGAAATGATAAAGCGAAGCTAATTTCTTATTTTGAATCAAATTGATTCTAACTGAATCTGAAAGTATTTAACTTGAAATAATTGTTTATTCCTAAAACAAATTAATTTTCAAATAAGAATTGCGATAAGATGTCATTAATTGTAGTTATTCAAGGAATAATTTACGTTTGTATCTTTAGTTATCTTAAAATTCGTGCAACACGATTAGTAGAAACGTGTGTAGTGATTAAGTACTATTCTCACAAGGTTGATCCTCCCTCCAGTAACTACCATATTATGTAATTCACCTCAATATTATCGAACGGTAGGTAGATATTATCGCGCAGGTAGGTAGATATTATCGCGCAGGTAGGTAGATATTTTCGCGCGGGTAGGTAGATATTATCGCGCGGGTAGGTAGATATTATCGCGCAGGTAGGTAGATATTTTCGCGCGGGTAGGTAGATATTATCGCGCAGGTAGGTAGATATTTTCGCGCAGGTAGGTAGATATTTTCGCGCAGGTAGGTAGATACCATGGTTGAACTAGCATAAGGTTGATCCATGAGAAGTTCATTTTTGCGGATGAAGTTCTTGTTCGCCTGTGACGTTACTGATATCAGTGACGTCACGGGCATTAACCAATCACCGAATAGCGATCAAACCAGTCAACCAATCCGTCATGGGAATGACGGGATTGTTTATATTTCTCGATCTCATGTTCATAATAATATGGTGGATATTCCATAATTGAAGAAAAAACCCACCAACGGTTGCGCGCACGCACATGAGGGCATTTGAGAACGTTTCGATATTCGGAAAACATGTAACGTCTTAAGAAAAAAAAAGTGGAGAAACAGGCGATAGAAAGGTTTTAGTTATGGTAGGCCCTCAGCCAGCCTTGCATAGCTGACTGGAAGGCAGGTAGCGATGTGGCAGCCACGACGTTTGCACTCAGGGAGTTCCATATTCCGATGGCCGACGGAAAGAAGGAGTGAAGGTGGCTCAGTGACGTAACAAGAAAGTTGAACTAAAAAGACGAAAATCCTCGTGGGTCAACCTCATATGGTTCAACCATGAGTAGATACAATCTACCTGTATTAGCGCAGACGAGCCTGCACTGCGGGATGAGGCGGCAGGCGGATGACATGCGGGTCCGACTTACACGCTCCCCGGCATCCATAACCATGGATGATAAGAAGCAGTCACCCGGTAGATTACCTGTGGTCTGTGGGGGGAATATTTTGGATATTCTTTACCGGGACATTTTCTGAATCCTGTCGGAATTTCAATCAGTCTAAATGCATATAGTAGTTCCGGCATTGATAATGTCCCCAAATAAAGATTTTTTATCCAAGTAGACTCCCAAATATTTTTCCTGTAATACCAATTTCTTCATTATGAACATCTTAGTATTTTAGTTCCAATTTGTTTCGCACTTACTTTATTTTCCTTTAAAATAAACTAAAATAGAATTCATGCCTCAACCCCGTGTGCGCTTTTCAAATATATTATTAATAATTCGGGTTTAAATCATTTAAATCTACGGCAGGCCCTTATCTATTTTCAGTGTTAACAATTATTGCGCTCCAAATCAATGGAGAGCTAAAGGCGATTGCAAGTATGGGATTATTGTAAGAAAACTAGTGTTAAATTGGGTCGATTAGGGGATTAAAACGTTGGACAAGAATGATTTTTTAAAAATAAGTTGAGATAATTTTGTATGTTATTTTTTGGGGGCAACTGAATGGGGAAACTTGAGTGGAAATTTGTCCGAGTATTTGAATAAATTAAACTCCGGTACCATAACTTCGCGGCCGAACACTTTACCATTTAAAAAAATCAGACCAACCTTCGAGAAGAGATTTGCATCAATTACTGCATCCAGCGCCGGTATCAATGATATTAACAAAGAAACCGAAAACAAACTCGCTTTCCAACGTTTGAACCTGAGATCCGGTAACACAGTGTACGACTTCATCTTGGTAGCCACTGCAACGCTTAAAAATAATATCAATTCAGTGCAACTATCGATATAGTTGTTTTTTATCCTTGTTAAAAATTACTAAATTTGTTAGCAATATTTAAGAATGGCAAAGTAATTATTTATAGAACGAAATTTTTAATATTATTCACTGTACGTAAGAAACGCACTGAAAAAGAAGGAATATATCACATATTACGTAAATCAACCATATAAATGAAATATGGAAAAGCATTATTATTATATTCTAATGATACATTAACATTATATTATCAAACCCTATGATATTTATGGAGCAAAATGATCTTAATTGGTGAGGGAAATATTTTAGTCGAACATGTATTTCAGGCTCACTGTTTTGCGTGTAAAAGTTTGAAGACCGGCCGCAAAATTGCACTAAGGGTTCGAGCATGGTTGAATTATTATTATTATTAATTATTATTATTAATTATTATTATTAATTCAACCATGGGGTTCGAGTATCAGACACCGAAATAAAAACTCATCACAGTCTTGATTAGCTTTTCACAAGCAAACTATGAACTTCGGAAAGTCAGTTTAACGAGATGCAGAAATATCGTCAACACCATGCAGGTTTAAAATTCTCCCGAGGTTTCAGCCAAGCGACATTTCTATCCGTGATTTTATGACTTATCGAAAATTATCTTCATTGTACGGGAAATAAATCGCGAATTATTTATAGAAAGCTAAAGTTATGACACAAGATTTATTAGAGTGCATGGAATAGCGAATGTGAAGAGGATAAATAATTTCAAAATCTCTTTTTAATTTATATAGAATTTTCTATAATTTTTCAGTTTTGTGCTCATATCAACATAACGTGAAAATGGCGGAGTAAACAATAATGAATCGAATATTAGGCAATATGTTTGATTCAACAGTCACATTATTGTTCGTCATTTGTGTTTTCTCTGACGAAAATTGTGTATAAAAGTTTATGTTATTTGTGATTGTATGAAAACGATGCAGCATGTAAATTAAAATATGTGACTACTGATTAATGTGAAATTAATCAATGCAAGTGCAACAAATAATTGGAGAAACTACAATTATTCGGTTACTTGGAACAATTAATAGAGAAAATTGGCATAAAAAGAAAATATAAAATGTTAGACCGCATGTAATGACAAGTATTTAACTGCAGAGAATTATCCCAGAAGTACAAATTAGAAATATTCAAGTTAATATGATTGAAAGAACAGCGACATGCGTACGTATAGTTCCATAACCGTTGTTCTGACTCTACTGTCGCCTCGCGACGCTAAGCTAGAACTATGCATGCGCGTCAATACAGAACAACGACTAAACTTTTAGTTCCATAACCGTTGTTCTGACTCTACTGTCGCCTCGTGACGCTAAGCTAGAACTATGCATGTACGTCATTTAAACTTTAGTTTACAAAGTAATATTTTGGTCATCGATTAGCCAACGAAAAATGAGGCACTGTGATTTCTGTCCTGAAATTTGACTTGAAAGCCATGACAGGGCTTGAATTTAGAACACGTGGACGAAACAGTTCTTATGATTACTCGAGTCTTACCATGAAACTTTCGTCATAAATCAACGTATTCGAAGTTTCGAGTGGTGCGCCAGATTTTGGACAGTATCAATTAGTCAAGGGAACGCACGAAATAAACCTATGATACCGATACTTCTTCAAATGTCATAATACTTCCTGGCATAATCGAGCGCCTAACGTTGGCACCGCAACTTCTCTCTAAGTTACTTAGAGCCTAAAGCGATCTGATATAAAATAATATTATCATGATGAACCAATGAGTAGTATGATCCAGAAAAAATGTAATAAAAATAAGCGATCGTCACGTAAATATTTGAGATGGAGTTGGGAACTTCAAACGTGTAACGGTAATAGAGTTCATGTAACGATGAAACGCTAACGATAAAGGACCATGCAATTCAGTTTATTCGTTGCATAAAATTACTGCATTGACTAGTGATCTGCCTTCCATGAATTATCTTTGGTTTGGTTATCAATCAGTCACAACCAGGATCCATAAAATTTATTATTCAAGTGAGACGAAGATGTCTCACGCTACACAAGAGCTCCAAGACAAATTTTATTTTGGCAGTTTTGCATCGGTACGAGATATCAGATAGAAATCCATCCCTCCAGGTTTCCTTCATCCATGATCATGAACATAAATCATATCACGTCAGACGCCGAGCATAATGCAGCTGAATAGTTGAGATCCCGCAAAAATTACTAGTTTTATAAAAATTATCAAAGACTCAACTTCAGGCTTTAATAACTCCGTACAGCCTAAATCGTTGTGTCTGTCGAATTTTAGCTGAGCGTGACACAATGGACGGGAACGTATGAAAATTGACTGGAATTTTACTGATCCAACTTTGGTAAAAATATTTCATTAAAATAAAGCCAGATACAGCTTTCTTATACTTCCGCAGGATAGGATAATAATTACGGTAGGTACTCTTATCATCTTGCAATATTGAGTGCAGCATGACAATTTTAAAATTCAAGTTTTTGTTTCTAGATAAATTGATGCTACAAAGATGGAAATACAATCAAATGACAGGTGACTCTGGATGATTTTTACAACTTATATTATCGTTACACTTTTGAGCAATATGTTCGTATTACGATTCAAGTGACACAAATTTTAATAATTTTTAATATTAAAATTTTTTAAAATTTGTGATTCAAGTCACACAACATTAAATTTGGCAGTGAAATTTTCTAAATTTTATGAATTCCTCACTAACAACGAGCAGGTGCTCATTATGGCTGTGTTTGAAAGTAAAAAAGGCAATATATTCAAAAGTATATTGATGTGAAAAATAATTTATAGATGTACAATACAATTGACCGCTACCTTATACAGAACTCGTTGGTTGAACTTCCACAGTCAAACGATTTCACTATTTAATCATAGTAATGCTACGATATCATGATAATTATTGAAGACAATGTTGTTCATACAAAAGTTTGAAGTGCGAGTGCCCCGAGAAACTTCTAACAGGCAATAGGTATATCTCGGCAGTAAAAAACAATTCCCATACACTGTCGAGTCTGACTCGTGAGTCGTCTCATCTTGACTAAAAAATATAACTCAGTACTCACTGCACTGAGTTACAGAGAGCGCATTTTCTCATCGACGAAAACTTGAAGTCACGGACGGACAGACAGACGGATAGACAGACGGATGGACATGGCGAGCACAATAGTGCATTTTTTCCATAAATGAGAAAATGCGCTAAAAACCAAACCAATCTACCATTGTACGTGGTCTGACGAGCCGAGCCGAGATAAATCGTGACGAGTTTGCCACTGTTTGCTTGCAGCTCCCCAAGCAAACTAAAATTCCACATTATCAATCTAACTTATCTTATTTAACGATATTCGGGGAGCTTTCTTCTTCTATCATCACTTCTGTTATCAACACAGACGTGATCTCTTCTCCGATCATGATGGTCGTCATCTCTTCTGTCGTGTCTATCGTCAATCCTTCTATCGTGATCGGAACGTCCATTATAAGAAGAAACTCGTCCATCAGAATCGTGACGCTTAGAATCAGCCGAAATTACTTCATGCTTTATTTTCTTCAGCTTTACATCAGGATGTTTGTTTGTTCTACGTTCGTCTTCGCTCCCTGATGAGCTTGAGGAAGGTGAGCTGCTTGATCGCTTCTTTTTCTTTTTACGTTTTGCATCGTTCAGGCTTTTGCTGTCATTTTTAGGACATTTTTCATCTACTTTAGACTTGGACTTTTTTTTCTTCTTCTTTCGATGTGATTTATGGATCTTCTCTTTCTTTTCCTTCAACTGTAAACAAAATATAATGCCAGTGTAAGTGACTTGAAAGAAAAAATTAGTAATTATAAGGACCAGAAAACAAGAAAAACTCTAAGTTATTTTTAGGGATACATTCGGCCTCAAAAAGTGTATACTACTAATTAGTCCAATCGAAGGGTCATAGAGATATTTAGAACCCATACTATGTGTCAGAAAGCATCAGTGAAAGTACTTTAATTGTCTAAATTGTTAGCAGCATACTACAGCACAGGGCTCACAATTTTCTTAAACACAAAATCAAAGAATTCTATCTGTGATTATGCAACAGGACGAAAAAATTATTCTCTCTCAACTAAGCCACAATCTAAGATAATAATATAATAATGTAATATAAAATAATAAGCCACAATCTAAGATAATACGTGGTAGGTAATAATCAACACACTCTAATTAATTGATTAAAGTTTTCAAAACTGGATATTTGTTACGATAAATACCGCGATTTTCCTCAAGCAGAACTTCATCAAGTGATACACGTAGTAGAGTTAGGAAAGAGTAGTGAGAGACAGTAGTTATGAGTATAGACACCAAAACCAAATCAGAACTAGACGAGAACTGTGGCAGAACACTGGATAATTACAGTGCGTAGAACACAACTCACTCAGGCTGATAACATATTAGATAAGACTCCCCAAAGTTTCTTTCTAAATTAACACTTGCTCAGAGTTGCAGTCACTAAGAGCTAACATGGAAGCCTCCCATCTCGCGTTGATCGAAGATGAACATGTAAGAGCACATACACATGTAGGAGCGCGCTGCAAAACTTTCTGAGCAAATGAACACAGATAAAGATAATTTCAACTTTCAATGAAATAAACTGCTAGCTACTCTACAATAAAATGATCAAAAAACACTCAGAGGACCATAGCACAATACGGTAGTGGTTCAAACTTGCAAGGCTGAATGACTGTGATTCAAAAGCGTTTGAACTGATTTCATGTATTAAAAGTCAAATACGGCAGAATTACCTTGATGGCAAAATTATCTTAGTATAACCTAACTCCAAACTTTTGCAATGCAGTTAAGCCCAGCAATGCTACTTAAGAACAATAGTTGTACCTATCTATTAACAATAGATCTATTGTAACACCAGTTTCCATAAATCACGGCCTAAGCTTATGATAAACTTTCTCTTTGACTGGACTGTTTGGGTACCAAACCTGCAGTACAGAGATAGAACTTTGAATATCATATCCCCATTAAAGCCAATAAAGTTCAATTTTCAGACTTTGAACCTTGTCACACAATGAACTTTCTTCTAGGCTAGATTGCATGGCAACCGAATATATAAAATAACATATATTTTTTTCTAACCAACTCACCAAGCTCATAAGCTCCTGTGTGTGTAGTGCTTGCAGTGGGGTCTCTTCTTCACTGTCTTCAGATGAAGTTGATGATACATCCAGCACAACAGCTTTCTTTGGGTCAACCTGCCCACATATATAAACATTTAGGTACTTATCTCTTCATGCTTACATAAGATTTGGGCTTATTTTTCTCCATTTTCATCAAAAAAAGTTAATGCAACAAGTGAGCAAATGTCCATTAAGGAAATGCCTTCAGTTTCATTAAAAAATAAAAACATTCAGTAGGTTATAACACATAACAAGCCAATAAGTATAAAAATTATTTGTTAAGCCTGCAAAAATAAAATATTTAGATTTCACAGATAATTTTGATCTTAAAATAAATACTAATAAGACTAACCTTGATAAAGTTCCTGCACTGATAAGTGAGATGACCAGGGTAACCACATTTCTTGCACGCAGCTCTAACATCTCCACCCCCAGTGGGGCCAATACGTGCCAGCTGCCTTTCATCCATTTGCAGCAGAGCCTATCTAGGCTCAAGCTGAACTAATATAAGAACAATTCATGAGAAATTTTGTCAATTATAACAATAACATAACAAAGCCTGAAATAACAAAATAAAATTTAAAAAATATGGAAATGGTCATTGTATGATATTGTCTTTGAATTGATTGGGTATTAAAATACTAATTTATACTTTACTAAAGCAGGGCTAGATCAGGAAAGTTTGAAGATGCTTTACAGTCAATAAGTATAAATAAAGTGCATGGATTAAATGATGCATCAACTTCAGTAGAACAAATGCAAATGTATTGGTAGAGGACCCATTTGCTGTATAGGGGCACAGTAAGATAAATTTTTTGACCATGGACCTAACAAAGGTGACAAAGAAACTTCATGAATTACCTCATGGGAGGTAATTCATCTAGCATGAATTGTACTGCTCCAAAAATGGTACAAAAGCTCTAGCCATGACTCAAAAGATAGATATATTCCAGGGACCATGCATGGTAGCCTGAGGATGGCATGGAATATATCTACCATTCAAGCAGCAATTTAGAGCTTTCAAAACAATTTGAGAGCAATAAGAATCTTGCTAGATTAATTATCACCTATCTAATTGTTAATAAAACGGCACAATTGGGTCACAAGATTCCAAATGTATCAATAATTGGTCACTTCGGAGCCGCAAGATTTTATTCATACGTAGGAAAATTCTAATCTAGGCCTAAGGCAAGGGGCATAAAATCATATGAAATTGACTGCAGCTCACTCACAGCAACTGCACAGTGATGGTGGTAAACCAGAAATTTTTTAGGATCAGTTCATAGGATATAGGACTTAAAAATGAAAATGGACTTGAGGAAGAGTCTAAAAAAGTCTTGGCTTTGCCACTATGCCATACACTTCAATCATATTCTTTGCTGTGGGTAAGAACACTAGAGAGAATAGCAACCTATAAAATCCAGTTCTTAAAGCCATACTGCCATCATTCTGCTGTGGGTGTATCTCCATGGTTCCGCCGTCACCACTTAAGCATGCCGCTGCATGCCCAAGGTAAATGTGGTTGTACTGTACTGCATCTGGCCAAACATTTTACTGCCTAACCTCTTCTGGCCTAACCTACACACATTGCAACATTTCTCCACCCAAATCAAACCTGAGTGGGCCAAACTTAACTGCATTGGTTTGGTTGCTGGACATTAGAAAAGAGTTTCAAGCAAGAAGGTAGATCCAGTCATTGGCTGCAAGAAGGTTGTGAGTCCATGGCCGGGAAGTGCTTGCCTGCTTGGGCATTTGGCTGTAGCAAAACAACTGGAGCTCCAAATCGTTTTCAATATTGATATGGTGAATTTGTTTGGTGTTTTTTGTTGCTTTAAAATTCCTTGTGAGCTGGAGTGCTACATACTCGAGGCCGGGGGGATGAGTGCAATTTGATGGCCTTACAGGAGTGCATATTGTCAAGGAAATGCCAGTGATTTGGGTGCTGGAGTGCACTCATCAAGGCCACCATGCTCCTTTTGGAGGATGGGTACTCCTATTTTGGGCACTGCACTACTCAATTATATAGGTACATGGGCATTTAGAATGCCACCATGTACAGTGAGACATGGGTCAGTGCAGCATGAATGGGTTGGTTGGGCCAGAAGAGGTTAGGCCATAGTAGTTACCAGGTGAGGCTGGAGGCAGAACTGCCTGCTTGTATGACACATCTCCTCTCAGCATCTCCTCACTGTGGGACAACCCTGTGGAGGCAGCGGCTTTCCTGGCCACCCCCCCTGCCTTTGCCCATCTCCCCCCTCTTCCAGTGCCAGCCCCCTGCCCACCACCAGAGCCTCCCCCCCGGCGAGTGTGATGGTCGCAACAAACAACAACAACAGCGTCAGCGTGCAAGCATGCTGAAGTTTTGGCTGTAGACATGCAGCCAGCTGGCAGCAGCAGCACTATTTTCTTTATGCAGTGTATCAATGGTGTCCAGGTTAGGAAAAGTCCTACTTTTTCTGAAATATTGTGGCTCTAATATCATATAAATTCAATGGTATGAAATCTTGAGGCTCAAATGTCATGTACTTTTGTTTGGTTAAAAATAATACAATTTCATTTCATGAAATTTTCAAGTTCCGTAATCTGCAGTCCTTCAACGCTCCTGCCAAAATATCCTACAGAATGTAATGGTAACAACTAACAAGTTGACCCAAAACGTTTTATTGAAGATTGCATGCATAGCCAGGATAGCCTAGTTGCAGTCACGTCAGAGTGCTCAGACTGCATTATCATGTATTCAGTTGCAACTAAAGTAAAGACAAATATTACTGTAACATGTGCAATGCACAGGACAGGACTTCATAAACAAGATTGTGGCTTGTAAATGGCTCTTTATGGCATGATATGGAATTTATGGCTCAAAGAAATGAAATCATGGCTGCAAATCCATAAAACCACCAAACCACCGCTCAAAAATTCCAGTTGCAGGCTTGCAGCTCACCAAGTAGATATATTCCAAGCCTGCTGGAGCTGGAGTCTGGTGCAGATTATGGCATTCCAGCTAAAGCATAGACTATGGCTTCTATATCTTAGACTGAGTACCGTAAAATGGGGTTACTTTGACCGGCGGGGTAACTTTGACCACTTTTCATTTTTTTAACAAAAACCCCCAAAACTCAAAAACGATTCGACATAGAAAAATTTTGTCAATGTCAGGAGCCAGCAATTTATGGTGAGTAAAGCTAGAGTATAGACCTGTATTTTGCATGTTTCAATTTAAGTTTAACTTATCTAGTAAAAAAATTTCATCATTTTGGATAAAAAAAGTGGTCAAAGTTACCCCATTTTACGGTAGTAAAGTTATTGCATGCTGAGGGCCTGAGGCTGTGCATTCACTCACTGCATTGACTACATGGCTGATGGCATGGCTTATTCAAGAGTTAAATTTGTTGATCACTCACAACTGCCTTCCGGCACCCTCGTTATGTTATGTTTTCAATGTCATTTTTGTGGGAAAGCAATGAGTTTGTCTGACCTTGGGATGTTGGGAAGTTGGGTTGTCTACCATCAGTGCCAGGCAGCCATTGCCATAACAATAACATAACATATTAAACATAACTGATAACATAGTGATCTCGGCGCTGAAGCATAAACCTGATGTGGTCTGACTCTGTTGCTGATTCTTTTCCCTTTTTTGCCTTGTTCACAGAAGATCTAAAATTGTATTTGACCAGATGTTTTCATGACTGACAATAGTTTGAAGTAGCAACTAGACTTTTAACCGAGTTCAAGAAGGTGCCAGCCTGCCAGGCATTTCAAATCTGAAGTTCTGAACATATATTTTTCCATAGCTTTATCTACCTAGTCTGTTCTTGAAGACTTGAACGCATTCATACTTGGACTCTTCACTCTTGGAGTGCCAACGATGCATAGATTAAAAAAAATTCAATGCCATTTCATAAATTAGCTGTTGAACCATTGTTTTATTACATCATGTATGATTTGTTCATTTTGTTGTATCACTTGTACGTTTTACTGCAGTAATTAAACTGCACACGCACAGTATGTTAGTACCTAAATAGTAATGTTACTGTATGTCACAGCCTCACATGTTTTACCTACTTACAGTACAGGACCAGAAATTTAACTGAAAAATGAAGTTGCATGATAGAACAAAGTAGTAAAAACTAAAAACTATGGTTTTACTACTGTATCCAGTTCAGAATTAAATCCTTTTGTTGTTCATTTTGTCACTGGATGCTAGTGATCATGCTACAAGGTGCTCAACACAGCTGAAACCCTGATGTTTTGGCTAAAGACAAGCAGCGCTAATTATCTCTATGCTATCATTGCTATGCAGTGTATTATCTGTGTATATATATATCACTGGTCCCACCAGTGATATGTCTGGTGCCGCGTGGTGCGGATTATGGTGTTCCAGCATAGACTGTGGACTGTCCACTCCACTCACTGTGGAGTGTGGCTTCTATCTCGGGTAACACTTAAAGTGAAGACGCCGAAGACGCTGAAGTCGCTGAGGTGGTGAACGATTGATCGATGGAATGCCGCGGCTGAACGAATTCCGCGAATTTGCCAAGAAGTAAAGTAACGTTTTTCATTATCCTATGTTGAAAAATTAAGCACTCAAACTACGCATATCCCCTTTTTGTGTTCTACAAATCAAAAAAATTAAAAAATCTGACGAATAACATATGCTTAAAACGGCACTATACTCATGTTCATACAATTAAACTTATTGCCTTATCTTGGTTTGAACAGTCGAATATTACGACTATAAAAGCATCTTATATAAACAAGGCGGAAATCAATCAATCATATTTTAATTTAAACCACCACACAGCACTATCAGTAAAACTCTGCACTCGACCACAACATTTAGCACTCGCCAATAGTGCTTAGCGCAAAACTTGATTCACCTTATTTCATCACTCCGAACTCTTTGGGTTGAAAAATCTCTGAGATATCAGCGTTGAACCTGTGAAACCTGAAGTGATCGTCAGGTTTCACTTGAAATGAAAGGTGATTAATCGTTTAACATGTTTAAACAGAGAACTGGTATATCTGCCTCAAACGCTATGGTTCAAGATTTACGTGTCGTTTCTTCTGACACCAGTGTTATATATATTATTGGTGATATGCTATTGCAGTGTCTGCTTCTGAAATTACGGAATCGACCGATTCTCCGCGGCATTCGATCGATCTATTATTCGCCACATGTTCCGCACTTCAGCGTCTTCAGCTACTTCAGCGCCTTCAGCTTTTAAGTGTGACCCTTCTATCTCTAAGTCCTGAACCTGAGTAAAGTTATTGCATGCTGAGCATTGTTTACCTGACTTATTTAACAGTTAAATTTGTTCGTCACGGCTGCAGCTGCAGCAGCCCCCTGAGGGCCCTGACTGAGCACCGGTTGTGTAACATATGTTATGTTGTGGGTAAACAATGAGTTTGGATGAACTCGGCCCTCGAGTCGTCCGCCATGGCATAGACTTTAGAACAAATTCAATGCAATTTTTTAAAATTGTTGAAGCATAGTTTTACTATAATATGTATGTTTTACTGCACAGTATCTTACTGAGTGTTTTACTCACTGCACCAAAAATTTAACTGAATCATGAAGTGGCAAAATAATACAAATTAGTAAAGACTATGGTTTTACTTCTGTATCCCGCTTAAAATTGAATCCTTTTGCCTTTTATTTCGTCACTGGATGCTACAAAGCGCTCAACATGGGTCAAGAGACGTGCTTTTATTTGAAAACTTGAGATTGATGAATTATTCAATCATCAATGAATAAGTAAAGATGAGCACGTATGAGATGTAGGTAAGCCAGAACAATTCGCAACTGCTTCTATGGTCAGTTTGATTTTTTTGGACTTTCCTAACCGATGTCATCAAATGGAATTAATTACACACTATAAACATGATATAGCATTTTATTCTATACGAGAAAAGATTGCAAACGTGCAAGATGTGAGCGGTTGGTGCCAATTGCGCATTGACGGTAGGGATAGTATGAATGGTATATAATTTTTATCAAGTAGTTTTTATGCATTTTTAGCGAGTATAATAAGAGATAATATCATTAACAGATGATAGGGTATAGCCGGCTTGTCACCAATTCTAGATTTCCTAAAATTTCCTCACCTAGCCGGGTCTCGAACCCGCAACTCACAACTGAGTTTAACCACCTGTCAACCTTGTTGATGTCGACAGAGCGTATATTATATTGTCGCATAAATTAGTATCCAGAATGTCTAAAAGGCTCAAAATTCGTATGCGAGAACGAGTGGCTAAGTAAGTTTGATCAAAGTTTCTTATTTTACTTCAAAATTTCTCATCCCAGTACGTTAAAAATTAAGATAAACAATTAAGCCTTACATATTTTCGACGTTTTCTGGCTTGATGAACAGCATCAGCATGTGGCAAGCATGTATTAATAATATATCTAGATCAGCTTAATCATATTTATGAGATCAACTCAACTAAGGGACTTAACATTAACAATGACTGTCACTTCTAGTGAGGAATTTTTTCTATTTACCCTGTCTGGAGGGTCGAAAAAAACGAAAACTGGAAGGGAAATCATCATTGTAGGTAATAATAATTGTGAAAAATAATGCATAGCGTGAAGAAACAAAACATTTCTATGATGATGCTATCTCAAAGTCAAATAATTTTTTCGATGATAGATGAATTTTATTTTCAGATTGGCCTGCCTGCAGAGGCCGTTTCAGCGCCATCAATAGTCTTTTTCGTTGCAGGGTGGCTCGCCGATCACTATATTCAAAATATTACATTACTTGAATCATAGGCGTATATAGTTGATAGATAAAGGCTACATACAACAACCAAATCATATTGCAGGAAACAGCCTCACAGAGGCGCTGTCTCACAGAGACGCTGTCTCACAGAGGCGCTGTCTCACAGAGGCGCTGTCTCACAGAGGCGCTGTTTCACAGAGACGCTGTCTCACAGAGGCGCTGTCTCACAGAGGCGCTGTCTCACAGAGGCGCTGTCTTCTCACAGAGGCGCTGTCTCACAGAGGCGCTGTCTCACAGAGGCTTTCTCTCACAGAGGCGCTGTCTCACAGAGGCCTTGTCTCACAGAGGCGCTGTCTCACAGAGCGCGTGCTTCAGTTCGGCGCAGTGGCGCGTGTGGCTGATGATGGCCGATGTAGCCGAAGCGAGGTACCCGCATCGCTCACGCAGCTCGTGGAAGCTCTCCAGCAGCGGTGATGGCTGCTCATTACAGAAAATTTATGCACGATTATCAATGGGCCAAGAAGAAGAAGAAGAATGGACTTAGCATATTCTTTCGCAGACTTATGATGTAACCATTTATATATGGATTCATTTATAGCTGGAGTTGGGCTGCAACTACTTATTGGGATTAACGCGTTTCTATTAGCAGAGGCAGATAACATGATCTTGTCTCCGAATTGAATTAAAGAACAATTTATCACAAGGAAAATCGGTGAGAACAAATAATCTAAAAAGTATAATCCCGGTTATTGTAGAAATAAATTTATACTGGGATTTTCAACGTTTGGGTTTCTAATCACACTTTCATAGTAGAACATTGCGAGGCATATTAACGAACTGTAGTGAAATTCCGGAATGATTCCTCCTTTATAACATAATAAGATTTGCTGTAACTCACATAAGGCTCAATCTTGCCAGACACCCATTGCCAGTGCAGCGTGTGACGGTCTGATACGCTGATGTTGCGTGAGGCTGAAATTCCTATCCATACTGGGAACGTCAGATTGAAGCTTGAGGGTTCTGCAATGAATAAGAGCACAATTAATAAACCCTGCTATTTACTAAATCGTAGGTACGAACAATAAAATAAGAGGGAAAAAGCTTATTTGCTATAGTTTAATGATTTCACTTACGTACTATTATTTTTAGCGCATATTCTCGTTTATGGAAAAAAGGCTCTTTTGTGCTCGTCATGTCCGTCCGTCCGTGACTGTCCGTTCGTGACTTCACGTCACGGACGGTCGAGAAAATGCGCTCTCTGTCACTCACTGCAGTGAGTACTGATCTAATTTTTTACCTGTTCATCTAATCCTCATACCGCATAACTAGTTATTTGACTAATGCATCGTTTCTACTTCATGCATTCATATTAGTCTCCACCAAAAACTAGAATAATAAAGGCTTCAACGTCTTCATTAATAATCTCGTGTCAATTGAAGTTTTTCGTCTAGCTTGCAGCTTAAGCCAAATAACTTTCACAAATTTCAGTATGAACTCCTTCATCCCAAAACCGATCTAATCAAGTGAACAATAAATTGAACAATACAATATAAAATAGGTGAACAATACTCATGACACCGACTCACCGTGACCGGCAAGGCGAATTATACCATACAAAATAGGTGAACAAAACTCATGACAACGACTCACCGTGACCGGTAAGGCGAATAATACAATACAAAATAGGTGAACAAAACTCATGACAACGACTCACCGTGACCGGTAAGGCGAATAATACAATACAAAATAGGTGAACAATACTCATGATCAAGACTCACCGTGAGTGGCAAGACGTCTCAGTACGAAAGTTATTTCATGGACCGAGTCGAAGGTTGCGAGGTGCCCCGTAAGCGACCTGCACTCCACGACCGCATCTTGCCAGGACCGCGCAACGGCGACGCCATGCAGACACTTGCGGCCCACGCGCGAGTAGTTCCGAGGACACGAGTCTGCCATGATGATAAAAATAAACGGATACACTAACAGTCGTAAATATATTCTAAAGTCAACAATTATATTCTTAACTCTTCCATGGCATTCTATTGCTTCGGTGATATTCTCGAGTCATTAATGATATTCTCCAGTCATCAATGATATTCTTAACTCGTCAACGATATTCTATTGTCGTCAAATATATTCTAAAGTCGTCAATTATATTTTAAAGTCGTTAAATATATTCTTCAGTCATCATTGATATTCTAAAGTCGTCAAATATATTCTTCAGTCATCATTGATATTCAAAAGTCGTCAAATATATTCTAAAGTCGTCAATAAATTTCTAAAGTCGTAGGTGATATTCTAAATCTACATATTCAATATGTCACAATAGAGCAAATTACTCTTACATACATCGATCAATGATCAATGTCTATCACGGTTTTGGAATTGAATTTTGTGAACGCGAGAAAAGGATGATTCAGTCATGGATTCAGTGTCGTGCCACATGACACACAAAGACTAAAATTTTAGGCTGAGATATTGCTGATTGATGGCAGTGCATTGATGTTGCGGCATTCATTCGTGATTATTTTTACGGCACTGGCTTAGCCCGTAGAAGAATGAAAAATGTATCAGCCTTATATTGCAAAGGTTTATTGTAGCTTTTGCCGTATTTTTTCGTATTTTGACGTATGTATCGAGTGAAATAATCATGAGAAATCAAATAAATGCAATTGCTGTAGCAACATCTGCATTATAAAGACTTTTTTAAAATATAATATTGAATATTGTTCTCGGCAGCAGTATGCAGTGATTCATTGAATTAGATTAAACGCTGAAACCGCTATCATTATTATTATAGACATCAGTGCGCAGTGGCGTGCCACAAGGATGCGTTCTATGGCCAATTTTGTTCGTTGCTTTTTTATAAACGATCTGCCAGAAGTTGTGTCCAGCGTGTGCTCCATGTATATGCCGACGACACAAAAGTTTATAATACAGTGAAGGATGCGTCAAATAAAGCGCAATTACAAGATGATCTAGACAGTTTAGTTAGCTGGGCTGATAATTGGCAGCTACGGTTTAATGCTGACAAGTGTAAAGTACTTCACCTTGGGAAGAACAAATTAATGAACATCAAAATTACAGTAAGAGAAGACATGGTTGCAACGAGAGAATAATGATTGAAAAGTCTAGTGTGTAAAAAGATCTCGGAGTTTATGTCGACAAGCAGCTGAAATATTCTAAGCATATTGAAACGCAGGCTAATATATCCAACAAACTTCTTGGACTAATCAGACACTCAAACGAGTTCCTAGATGCAGAAGCGATGAAGCAGTTGTTTGTTGCTGTCGTGCGCCCGAATTTAGAGCTTGGAAACTTTGTGTGGTCGCCGAGATTTAAAAATTTAATAAAGAATGTTCGCATACGTGCAACAAGGAAAATTCCAGGCTTGAAGGGTAAGTCCTATGAAGAAAGACTAAAGATTATGAAGCTTCCAAGCCTCAGTTATCTACGTCTGCGTGGGGACCTCATCGAAGTATACAAGTATACTCATGGTTTATACAAGGTTCCCAAAGGATTACTAGAATTTGAAACAAGAACTAACACCAGGGGCCACGGCTACAAACTGAAAAAAACTTCGCTGCAACTTATCCACGCGACAATATTTCTTCTTCAGTACACTTATCAGCAAATTTTATACAGGTGCGCTCACCTTGAAAGATTATAAATGCCCTCACCGTGCATACAGTTGATTTCATCACTCATGTCTCCGCAATCGTTGCCGCCATCACACTTATAACGCGCGCGGATGCAGCGTTTGTTGTTGCATTGAAACTGCAATGCATCACACGTGCCTGAAATATTGTTTATTGCATCTGTGCATCAATGGTAATAGCTTATTAACAATGCACAGCATTATTACTGAAATGGCGCATAGTATTAGTTTTTATTTGATATTTTATTGATTGATTATAGTTCGCAAACCCTTGTAGAATATGGTCAACATTTTCGAATAAAATGCCTTTATAAACTGCATAATACAATTCAAATTACATTATTGGAAACTAAAGGACCATGAAACCNAGGGCCAGTTCGTATACAAGGCGAGAAATACAGTGGAACCTAATCCTCCTCGGGCATCGATTTCCAAAATCCGAAAGTTTTAAAGAATGAATTGCAAAAATCTCACATAATCGGTTCACCTTCTGCAATGGAAAGAAGTCCTCCTACGAGTAAGGAACGGGTAAAAATTCTGTTTTAAAATCTTACAATTCTTTTCATCGCTGCCGTCACCACAATCGTTGTCGCCATCACACGTATAACTCGCGCGGATGCAGCGTTTGTTGTTGCATTGAAACTGCGATGAATCGCACGTTCCTGAAATATTGTTTATTGTATTTTGCGTGCGCGACGTGGTTGATGACTACCTGCAGTTTTTTTTACAACCCACGTACATGCAGTTGTGCTCATATATTTATCAGTCACCACTCTACCTATATAGTGTAGCATACAAATTATATCAGTCACCCACTCTTCGTGAACTTGCGCTCACATATCATCAGTCATTCACTCTACGCACAAGTGTGCCCTGATTAGGAAGGAACGTTTACCCTATTAAACGTGACGTAAACTTAATATGTTTCAGTACACTTATCATCAAATTTAATACAGGTGCGCTCACCATGGATTATTATAAGTACGCTCACCGTGCATACAGTTGAGCTCATCACTCATGTCGCCACAATCGTTGTCGCCATCACACGTATAACGCGCGCGGATGCAGCGTTTGTTGTTGCATCGAAACCGCGATGAATCGCACGTGCCTGAAATATTGTTTAATGTATCTGTGCATCAATGATAGCAGCATATCAACGATGCACAGCGTCTTCACTGATATGACGCATTATATTAGTATTTATTCGATATTTTATCGAATGGATACAGTTCACTGCACCCTTGCAGAATAAGGTCAACATTTTCGAACAAAATGCCATTATAAACTAGTAACTACATGATACAATTCAAATTACATTATTGGAAACTAAAGTACCATGAAACCAATGAAGGGCTAAAACAATGAAGGTGTTTGTCGATTTTATAAGCAAAGAAGGACATTTAACATTGTTAAACGATTCTGGTCACATTTCGAATTCAGGTCTTACAGTTCTGCTCATCACTCATGTCCCGACAATCGTTGTGGCCATCACACACCAACGTCGCTCCCACACAGCGTCCGTTTGCACACTGGAACTGCCAAGGTGCACAGCGACCTGGCAAAATTATCATCACATTTATTTGTTCTATTTCTCACGTGTAGGGATAATGTTAACATTTTTCCTTAAGTAAGTTTATGTAACCATTATTCTTAAACGCAGTTTCAATGCATCGTAAGTTGATGAATTGAAACTGCGATGAATAACACACGCCTGAAGTATGTTTACTGAATCTCAGCATCAATAGTAAAAGCATATTAACGATGCATAGCATCATCACTAAAATGGTGCACTGTATTAGTATTAATTTTATATTTTATTGGCAAAAAATCAATCGGTAATATAGAAAACGTGAGTCGCATCGATTTTTTTTTCAAGACGAAACGAAAGGTTCGATGTAACTTAATAACATTATGCTGCTCGACCATTTTATATACAAGGCGAGAAATACAGTGGGCCCATTTAGGTTCTTACTCGTGTAGCGATTTCTAAAATNGAAAGTTTTAAAGAATGAATTGCAAAAATCTCACATAATCGGTTAACGTTATGCAATGGAGAAAAGTCCTCTTACCAGTAAAGAATAGGCAAAAATTCGGTTATAATATCTTACAATTTCGTTCATCACTGCCGTCACCACAATCGTTGTCGCCATCACACGTAAAACTCGCGCGGATGCAGCGTTTGTTTTTGCATTGAAACTGCGATGAATTGCACGTGCCTGAAATATTGTTTATAGTATTTTATGTGCGTGACGTGGTTGATGACGACCTGCAGTTTTTTTACAACCCAGGTACAGTTGGGCTCATATATTTTCAGTCACACACTCTTCCTATAGTTTAGCAAACAAATTATATCAGTCATCCACTCTACGTGAACTTGCGCCCACATATCATCAGTCATTCACTTTCCGTGCAAGTGCACGCTGATTAGATACGTTTACCCTATTAAACGTAACTCAAACTTAATATGTTTCAGTACACTTATCAGCAAATTTAATACAGGTGCGCTCACCTTGAAAGATTATAAATGCCCTCACCGTGCATACAGTTGAATTCATCACTCATGTCGCCGCAATCGTTGTCGCCATCACACTTATAACTCGCAGGGATGCAGCGTTTGTTGTTGCATTGAAACTGCGATGAATCGCACGTGCCTGAAATATTGATTATTTTATCTGTGCATCAATGGGAATAGCATATTAACGATGCACAGCATCATCACTGAAATAGGGCATTGTATTAGTATTTATTTGATATTTTATAAACAACAAATCATCAATAATCAGTATATAAAACGTGAGTAGCATCGAAATTTCTTATCAATACGTAACAAAAGGTTCGACGAAAGTTAATTTTATGCTCCGCGACCATTTTGCATATAAGGCGAGAAATAGAGTCAACTCTTTTTAGGTTCTTACTCGTGTAGCGATTTCTAAAATCCGAAATATTACTGAAGAAGGCTGCAAATATCTCACATAATCGGTTCATGTTATTCAATGAAGAGAAGTCCTCCTATGTGTAAGAAATGGGTAAAACGTCAGTTTTAATATCTCACAATTATATTCATCACTGCCGTCACCGCAACCGTTGTTGCCATCACACCTATAACGCGCGGGGATGCAGCGTTTGTTGTTGCATCGAAACCGCGATGAATCGCACGTGCCTGAAATATTGTTTAATGTATCTGTGCATCAATGATTCGATTTTATAAGCAAAGAAGGACATTTAACATTGTTAAACGATTCTGGTCACATTTCGAATTCAGGTCTTACAGTTCTGCTCATCACTCATGTCGCCGCAATCGTTGTCGCCATCACACTTATAACGCGCGGGGATGCAGCGTTTGTTGTCGCATTGAAACTGCGATGAATCGCACGTGCCTGAAATATTGTTTATTGTATCTATGCGTTAATGGTGATAGCATATTAACGATGCACAGCATCATCACTGAAATAGGGCATTGTATTAATGCATATTTTATTTCTTATAAATAACAAATCATCAATTGGCGACAAAGAAAACGTGAGTCGCATCGAAATTTGTATTCATTGCGAAACAAAAGGTTTGATGAAAAAAATGCAAGAAATACAGTGGAACCTATTAGGTTCCTTCTCGTGCATTGATTTCTAAAATCCGAAATTTTGATGACTGAGGTTGCAAAATCTCAAATAATCGGTTCACGTTATGTAATGGAGAAAAGTCCTCCTACCAGTAAGGAATAGGCAAAAATTCAGTTTTAATATCTTACAATTTCGTTCATCACTGCCGTCACCGCAATCGTTGTCGTCATCACACTTATAACTCGCGCGGATGCAGCGTTTGTTGTCGCATTGAAACTGCGATGAATCGCACGTGCCTGTAATATTGTTTATTATATATGAGCATCAATGGTAGCAGCATATTACCGATGCACAGCATCATCACTGAAATGGGGCATTGTATTAATTTTTATTTGATTTTTTAGACACACCTAACCCTAACTCTAACCCTAACCTAACGAGGTTGGCGTTTTTTTTTTTGATAGCCAGTAATGTAGTTCATTTATTTTCGCGTCCGGTTTTTAAGCACAAACTAATTGCAGAGGTTAATCTCACCTGAAGTGGGTGTTAAAGCGGCCGCTGTGACTGAACTCATCGCAGCAGCAAACAACAGCAGCGACAATAGCCATTGACGATCACTAATATCCTGCGGAAACAAATGACACTCAATAGTAAATAACACATGCCTGACCACGGTCACGATCCTGACTCGGGGTATAGAATAACCTCATTTATAATGGAACTCTTCTTAAGATATATCAATGATAATGTTGCTGACTTTGTCCATGTCGTTATTTAGTTTAACGTTATTTGAGGTAACCAAGCATTCATCAATTATTTATCCGTGAATGCGTGATTGAAGAAAACGCGCGCTCTAGTCCCATAAAGCAGGTACACGCGGTGTGAAAATTCTCTCCCCTTGAATTCCTGTAGGCAAAATTACAGATTCACCTGAGGCACGTGTCTATACGCAAATTAAGCAATTTTGACAATCTTGCACCAGCGTAAGAGGAATTGAAGCGCGTCGTTTGAATTGCAAGTCAGTTGATTCATAATTGGAAATATTGTGCGTGGATCAATTGAATTGCGATTGTTGGATATCATGGACTGGATCTCGAACTTACCATCATGGAATTGCAACGATGCGGCACAAACTGATTTGTCGATTTATTACTGAAAACTTTCTTGTAAATTATAGTAAAACTGAGGGAAGAGCTCACCTAATATATTTAATTGTGATCATAATTTGGAATTTGTTTCAATTAATAACATTTACAGCGAACAATATTAATACACTATATGGATAAAATGTTATGTCCTTATAACCTCAGTCTTTCATTCAAGCTACCGTCGACCGCGTGCTTGGGATCTTTCAACTTAGATAGGCTCGGAAAGTTCAGTTTCAGTTAAGCTAATTTTCTTTAGGGCAATTCAGATAAATTAGGTTTTGTCAGTTTAGCCAAGTTAGGTAATGTATGGTTTAGGGTTTAATAATGAGTTGGGTCATGTAAGGCTAGGCCAAATGAACTAAGAAAGGTTTAGGTCAGTGGTTTTTTTTTGTAGGACTACATGTTTAAACATTTATAAAAATAAAAAACCGATTGCCATTCAAGTTAAACAAATTTAATTTATTCAATTTAACATCAGTTATCACGAAAAACCTGGCATTGTAGGATCGCATAGGTTTACACATGAAATAAACAAGTGAATATTTGAGCACGCGGGTTGGAAATCTTGAGCGCTTTGCCCAGTGGGAAAGACGTTCGAGTAGCAGCACCTAGACGGAACTGAAGAAAATGTGTCTTGATCAGCTTTATTTGCATGCATTTATCTGCAGCCAATCTGCTGCTGCTGATGGCTGCCGCCGCTGCTGCTGCTGATACCTGCTGCCGGTGCCATGATTAACTGGCTTACAATGATGATTATTTTATTTTGTTACGGCTATCGGCCAGAGTTCACTAGCATCGCACATATTTACAGCATTAACAATGCGACAAAATACAGCTTTACACCTAATAATCTCAAAGGGATTATAATATCTCTCAGCTATTGAATTATACACTAGGATATTATACTCAACCACTACAGCTCTATGCTAGTCCAGCTTTATTGCATTTCGTGCTGAAACATTTGATTAAAAAAACTCAAGTGAAATCACTGAAAGAGAATGCGAATAAAGAGTGGAAGTGAATAAAAAGTGTTTTTCTGTTTTTTCTTAAGAAGAAACGAGGGAAAGCTTGTGAGAGACGGCACAGTGCTTTACGCTTGGCCTAAATTTCTTGAGCAGGCTCCGTCACATTTGTTCTGCCCCGCCGTCTACCTTTGCTCTACCCCGCTCCTTCTCAACCCGCCTATCGCGTCGAGCCCTTGATTCCCCCAGCCCACCCCTGTCTTTCCTTCGCCAGCTACAGCTGTTCAACCAGAGTCGAAATTTTCGAGGGAACTTTAACTAAACTCAATTCAACTCTGTTTTGAAGTTTGTCTCTGTCCTTTTCTCCGTTCAAGAGCTCCACTCCGTGCATTTTATAATGGCTAGAGAGAAAATAAAACAGGTAGTCGAAAAGCCCTCTACTGCCTATAGTTCATTTAGAAAAAAATTAAACCAAATCAGCTCAGCTAGAGATGAAAATTTCCAAGTACTGCAAAGTGATCTCTCGGAGCAAAGTTGTTCATACGGTCACCTGTCAACGTTGCGAAAATCTCATTTGTTTCAGCTGTTCGAAGTTGAGCTCTAACGAGTATCCATTTCTCCAAAAAACTAATTTACTTAATTGGTTTTGCCTTGACTGCGAAAAACCAACTCTTGGTGCTCGAAAAAGAGAAGAGTCGGTGGAAGAGCACGGCAATGAGTCGAAATCGCTGAATGATGTAGTAAACTCCTTGAGTGAGATGGTGCGCTCGCTGAGTGAAAAAACTGAGATCATTATGCAATGAGCTGACTGAAGTGAGAGCTCATCTGAAAAATACAGAAAAAATGGAAGTAAAGGACAGGAGAGCTGATTTATCTAAAGTCGCTAGCGAAAGCTCCCGTGAATTACTTGATAGAGAGCGTATGAAGTCCAATCATGTGTGGTTAGGTATTCCCGAAAGTACCGCATCTGATACAAACGACCGAGTGATGACTGATGCTGAATTTATTGCAGACTGTTGTAGCAAGGCACTCAGCACACCGGTTGCAGAGCTGGGCAGCGCTACTTGGAAATGTAGCGGCGCTACCGCTACCGCTACAGTAAAATATAGCGCGCTACATTAGCCGCTACAATGGCCAAAATTATTGGAAATCTCTAAATATTTATTGTTCTGCTATTGGGATTTACTCATTAACATTTAATGATAAAAAAACATTTTTAAAACATATCAATGCAACTTTATTGCAATTAACCTAACCGAACTGGTATGGGTTACCCCAGGGTTAGATACAGTAAGTAGAAGTTACAGTTATTTTTTATGTTTTACCTTCCTACATGGATATGAACTTTAATCTACCAATCTAAGAAATTATCCACATATACATATAAAAATCAGTCTTTTTTTGTATATATATGTGGATTATTTTTTAGATTGGTAGATGCCGCTACTATAGCGGCCGCTACTACATTTTACATAGCGGCCGCTACTAGCGCGCTACTGCCCACCTCTGACCGGTTGATATTACATCGTGCGAGTGACTACTCTCGGATGCTGCTGCCAACACCTGCAGACCCCTGTTGGTGACTGTAATGGATCCTGCTCTGGTTTGTAGAGTGCTGAAGGCAGCGAAAAAGCTTGGAGAATCCACTAAGTACAATTATGTTTTTGTAAAGAAAGATTCCACCCCTTTAGGGAAGGCGGATTTTCGTAAGAAATGGCAGGAGAGAATCAAGTGGATGATCAAGGAAAATCAGGTCAATCACTCTTAAGCTGTCAAGACAACACCGGCTACTCACGGCTAGTCAGAGGAGCTGGAGGTCAAGTAATTAGTAGGGATGATGTCCGTATATCCAGGCCTGTAAATAATGTAGGAAGTAACCGCATCCATCAAAGTAAAAGCGCACAAAAAAGTTTTAAATGTTTTTATACGAACTTGGATTCATTTTTGACCAAAATAAGTGAGCTGCTAACTGTGATCGCAAACGAGCACATTGACATTATTTTTATTACAGAAACACTCCATAAAAATCATGGGGTAAAATTGAACCTGTCGAATTTCAGTTGCCAGGTTTTGATTGTTTTAATAACTTAACTGAAGAGCAGCGCAGTAGAAGTGTAGCTCTGTTGATTAGAACCTCTTATGGGGACCAGCAAGTTAAGTTAACTACAGAGCATCAATCAGGTAGAGAATCAGGGTGGTGCGAATTTTCTTCAAACAGCCTTTTAATGAGCATGACTTTCAGAAGGTCGCATACGTTGATCGTTGGTGACTTTGACCATCCAGAAATTGACCGAGCACTCCATGACTCTCCAAGAAATGGGATCACCCAGCACCCCTGTTTTTGGAATCTGTGCGAGGCTCATTTTTAATCCAGAACATCACCAAGGCAACCCATAAAAGGGGTGAACAGACCCAAATATTCTAGATCTAATAATTGCTAGCGAAGAATCAATAATAGATGAGCTTCTCCCTGAGGCTCAGTTGAGCAAAAGCCACCACCAATCACTGTTTTTCAATATTAAGTGTTATGCAGAAAAGACACTTCGGAAGCGTGAACATTTGACCTTTGCGAAAGGCGACTATGTGATGCATTGAATGCGGCGACATGAATGTGGCTGATTCATGATCATATCTCAAAGACAAGGTTATGTCTGCAGTTGATGCCTGTGTACCTAAGATTACGCTGGGAGGAGTCAAAAAGTCCCAGTGGATGATCAGTGCAGTTATAGATCAGCAGGTAAAGACCAACAATGAAACCTACAAGCATTATTTACGAGCTCGCATCGATGCTGATTTTAACCTGTATGCAAGAGCTCGAAATCAAGCTAAAAAAGTCTGTCGCACCGCAGTGAAAAACTTTAAATAAATTGCCAAAAATGCAAAAATGAATCCAAAAGCCGTTTTGTACGCTAGTTCGAACTGTAGGACAAACGACGGTATTTATAATTTGAAAGTAGAACAACGAAAGATATCCTCTGATGAGGGCAAGGCTAACGTTCTTAATCAGTTGTTTAGCAGTGCGTTCACAGATGAGGACTTGAACGGTATTCCAGATATTGTAGGCTTTTTTTTGAAATACGCGAAAAGAGGTTCTCAAACGTCTGGTCGCTCTAAATCCTAACAAGTTATGTGGACCAGACGGCTTCCACTCTTGATTCCTCAAAGAATTCGCAACCGTCCTGGCTGGCCCTTCGACAGTATTTTTTCAAAAAACCTTGAACGAAGGAACTTTGCCGACTGAGTGGAAAGAAGCTCAAGTAACACCAACGTTAAAAAGTTGACAAAAGTAGCCCCGATATAACTATCGTCCTGTCAGTCTGACATGTGTTGTTTGTAAGATAATGGAGTCTGTTGTTAGGGGATTATCGATCACTTGACTGTTCACCATCTCCTATATATCAGACGACTGTCAACATGGCTTTATTGCCGGTAGATCCTGCACCACTAACCTCTTGTCTACGATAAACGATTAGACTCACCTGCTGGATGAAAGGGAACCGTAGATTCGGTGTACCTCGATTTTGCAAACAACATTTGACAGTGTACCGCATGAGCGTCTGTTGCGTAAAGTAAAGTCTTTGAGAATAGAGGGGAACGTACTCCAATGGATCAGAGATTTCATAGTAGGTTGACGACAACGTGTCAGTATTAACGGAAACTTGTCAGACTGGGCATAAGTGCGCAGTGGAGTGCCACGAGAATGCGTTCTTAGGGCCTGTCATTTTCGTTGCTTTTATAAACGATCTGCCAGAAGTAGTGTCCAGCGTGTGCTCCATGTATGCCGACGACACAAAAGTTTATAATACAGTGAAGGATGCGTCAAATAAAGTGCAATTGCAAGATGATCTTGGCAGTTTAGTTAACTTGGCTGATACGTGGCAGCTGCGTTTAACGCTGACATGTGTAAAGTACTGCACCTTGGGAAGAACAATGAAAACTAAGAATACAGTATGAGCAGAAACGGTTGCAACGAGAGAGTAATGATTGAAAAGTCTAGTGTGGAAAAAGATTTGCGAGTTTATGTCGACCAGGAGCGAAATTTTACAAAACATATTGAAACCCAAGCTGATATATCCAACAAACTTCCTAGACCAATCGCACGCTCATACGAGTTCCTAGATGCAGAAGCGATGAAGCTGTTGTTTGTTGCAGTCGTGCGCCCGAACCTAGAGTTTGGAAACGCAGTGTGGTCACCGAAACTTGAAAAGGACATAAATTTATTGGAGTGTTCAATGACGTGCAACATGGATAATTCCGGGATTAAAAGGCAAATCCTATGAAGAAAGATTAAAGATATATAAAGCTTCCAAGCTCTGTTATCGACGTCTGCGTGAGGACCTCATTGAAGTATACAAGTATACTCATGGTTTATACAAGGTCCCCGAAGGATTACTAGAATTTGAACGAGAACCAGCATCAGAGGCCACGGCTACAAAC